GGATTTAATTAGTATTTGCAGAATATTTTAACCAACAACAGCCAAGTACACATTCTCATAGAAAATCAATGAATATTCACCAAAATAGACCACACTCTGAGCCATAAAATGCATCTTAACAAATGTAAAAGACTAGTTAACATATAAAGTATACCCAAAAAACATATTAAAATTAAACTAGAAAGCAGTAACAGAAACAGATGTAAAGCCCTCAAATAATTGTAGACAAAACAACAAAGTTCTAAATAACACAAGAGTCAAAGAAAAATCTCTAGAGTAATTTAAATATTTTGAAAGAAATAAAATGAAACTATATCATATGAAAATTTGTGGAATGCAGCACAGGCAGTGCATAGGGGCAAATTTAGTGCACTGAATGCATATGCTCGAAAGGATGAAAGATCTAAAATCTGTAACCTAACCTCCCACATTAGGAAACTAGAGAAACAAAGTAAATCTAAATCAAGCACAGAAAATAACAATGAGAGAAGACATCAATGAAAATGCAAACAGGAAATCAATGGAGAAAATCAACATACAAAATGCTGGTTTTTCATAAACATTGATAAAATTAATAAGCCTATAGTGAGGCTAGAAAAATAGAAAAAGCATAGAAATGACTAATTAGAAATAAAAGAGGGGCCATCACTACTAATCTCATGGACATCAAAAGGCCAGTTTCATAACCAGAAAGTTGATAACTTAGAAAAAAACCAGTTCTGCCGGGCGCAGTGGCTCAAGCCTGTAATCCCAGCACTTTGGGAGGCCGAGGCGGGCGGATCTTGAGGTCAGGAGATCGAGACCATCCTGGCTAACACGGTGAAACCCCGTCTCTACTAAAAAATACAAAAAACTAGCCGGGCGAGGTGGCACATGCTACTCGGGAGGCTGAGGCAGGAGAATGGCGTAAACCCGGGAAGCAGAGCTTGCAGTGAGCTGAGATCTGGCCACTGCACTCCAGCCTGGGCAGCAGAGCGAGACTCCGTCTCAAAAAAAAAAACAAAAACAAAACAAAACCAGTTCTTTGAAAGATGCAATCTCCCAAAAGTCACACATGGAGAGATAAACAATATGACTAGGTCTATATGTATTAAAGAAATCGAATCAATAACTAATAATTGCTTACATAAGAAAAAGAGGTCCAGATGGTCTCACTGGTGAATTGTGCCAAACAGTGAAAAAAGAAAACAGAAAAACTGACACCAATAAGCCACAATCTCTTCCAAAAAATGGAAGTAGGGTAAATACTTTCTAAATTCACTCTATAAGGTCAACATTACCCTACTACCAAACTACATGGATACATTATAAAAAAAGAAAATTATAGACAAAGAAGTCTCATGATCATAGTTGCAAAGATTCTCAACAAACACAAGCAAAGTGAATCTAAAAATGTGTTAAAAATTATACACCACAACCCACATGGGAATTATCACAGATGGAAAAGGCTGATTCAAAATTCAAAAGTCAAGTAATGTAAACCATCACATCAGAAAACTAAACAACAAAAATTATTATATTAATAGTTGTAGAAAAACCATAGGCAAAAAAAGGGAAAATATATTGAAATTAAGGAAAAAGAAATTAAACTGTCTTTGCTTTCAGATGATATGATTGTCTATGTAGACGATTCCAAATAATGAAGAAAGAACTGCTGGAATTAGTAAAAGATGATAAAAAGGTTGTAGAATATGAGGTTAATATACAAAAGTCAACCATTTTCTGTGCATTAATAAAGAACAATTGGATTTGAAATTACAAACACAACACCATTTTTATAGCACCAAGAAAACAGACAAAATATATATATATACACATATATATGAGACAAAGATCTTCATGACAAAAACTACAAGTTTCTAATGAAAAAATCAAAGATTTAAATAAATGGAGAGATGTTCCATGTTATGGAAAAGAAACCTCAATATTGTTAAGATGTTGGTTTGCCCCAATTAGAATTATATATTCAAAACAATCCCAATAAAACTCTTTATAAGTTATGTAGTCAATAATGAAAAATTGACCTTGAAAATTATATGGAAAAGCAAATGACCCAGAATGGTTAACAGAACAAGGAAGAGTAAATTTCCAGTACTCACACTACATGACTTTAAGATTCATTATAAAATTATAGTAATCAAGACAGTGTGGTATTTGGGAAAGAATAGACAAATAGGTCAATAGAACAGAATAGAAAATTCAGAAATAAACCCATAAAATACAGTCAACTGATCTCTGAAAAAGGAGTAAAGGAAATTTAATGAAAACTGGTTTTTTCCAACAAATATTGCTTGACAACTACACGTCTATACGCAAAGAAATAAATGAGACAAAGACCTTGCCATTTTCACAGAGTTAATTCAAAATGAATAAAAAACTTAAACGTGAAATGCAAAATTTGAAACTTCCAGAAGATAAGACAACAGAAACTCTAGGACACCTTGGGTTTGACAATAAGGTTTCAGATGCAACACCAGAAGCATGATTCTTGAATGACAAAATTGACGAATTGGACTTTAATCTTGTTTTGCAAAAGATAATGTTAAGACAATGAAAAGACAAGCTGCTGAATGAAATGAAATAATTGCAAAAGACATAGTTAATAAAGAACTGTTAGTGAAAATATATAAAGAAGTCTGAACAACTCAGATGCCAGTCACAAGCCCTGTGGGACCATCTACACTTCTGAGCTACTGCCTATAAATTGGCCAGTTTATAGGCAGTTAAAAATCTAAGAGAAACTTTAAGACATTCTCAGATACTTTGCTGAATTGCAGCAGGAGAAAATGTCTTATCAGCAGACCTATCTTTACGTCACTTGCTTTCAGAATAAGAGGCTATTTCAGGCACAGCAGTTTTAGTCTGTGTTAAAAATCATAAGCGGCCTAAAAATACCCAAAAATGATGAAAAGAATTTGCAGATATATGGAATACATTATATGTTTTCAAAGTCTCCTGTGATGAAAAATAAATAATGTGTTGTTTGGCTTTGATTTCCTAAACTCATTCCTCAGCTATTTTCCAAAATATTCCATATCCTTCCAACATGCTTCTGCAGTTCCTTGAGGGGTTATGCCAATGATAAACAGTACCATATGGGCACAAATATCAAAGAATTCTGCTTCGACAGCAGAAGTATAACTCTCTGGAACCTTGTTGCATGAGTAGTATGGTCTATGGAGGTACACAGGCTTTGGAGTTACAGTTGATTCTGTATCCCAACCCAGCTGCTTAGTAGCTGTGGGGTTTTGGAAGTTTCTTGACTAGGAACACTTATATAAACCTCATCTGCAAGAAAAGGCATAATGATACTGATTGCAAAAATTCTTCATTCCTCCCTGGATACACGTCCTTTGCAAAGTGCTTTTATAGCTGCTCCCTTCGAAAGGCAAAATCTGTATTTCAAAATGTTTAGAGTCTTACTTGCTCTGGTCAACAGAAAACTGAACATGTAACAGTGTGCTAGTTTGGGATCTAGGGGCAAAACTTGAGTGCTTTTGTTTTTCTTTCAGAATCCTGTTATCTCTGTGATAATAAGCATATGTTAACTTGCTGGGAGATGAGATACCACATGGAGAAGAACAAAGGTGCCCCAGTTGACAGGCAACTCACCCCTAGAAACAGCTGCAGTCAGCATCTGACCACACATGTCTGAAGGATCCCAGCTGAGACCAAAAGAATTGCCCAGCTGAGTTTAGCTTAAATTGCTGACCAGCTGAATCATGAGCTAGTAAGTTTCAGGTGGTTTGTTATGCATCGCTAACTAACTAACACACACACCCATTACAAACAGGTTGTCAGAATTCAATGAGAGATTGATTACTAGTTACCTGCAAACAGTAGACACCCTATAGGTATTGATTTTCTTTTCCCTGTATTTAAATTTGGATCTCTTGTTAGACGGTGGTGAGTTATGTAAAGATATAGGTCGACATGTGTACATGTGATTGGTGCATAAACTCACCCAGTCTCCCACCCCATAGGAGGAAAAAGACAACCAATAGCCTGTTCATTAGGGCCAAGGCCAAATACCAATATCAGAAGTTTGTTTAATCTATTTTCTCTATATCTAAACCTTGGAAGGCAAAGCTGTGGAAGACCTGAAGACTTGAGGTTAGGTCCTCCTGGGGGCTCCATTGTTCTTTTTTTCACTGTCTGATTTTTGGAAGGAAGATGGACAGCAGGCGGGGCAGCAGTGGTTAACCTGTGGACACTCTTTTTGCAGCCCTTGTTGTTTCTAGGGCCTTGTCCCTTCAGCCTTTGGCCTAGGGAGAGATGTTGATAAGGAGGCACCGATCTTTCACTTCTGGAAGGAAATGAGGGTTCAGACCCTTCACTTCCCTCAGAGCTGCACGTCAGTGTGACAGCCACTGGCCCTGTGTGTGTACTGAGGGCCTGGAATGTGGCTGAACTGAGACGTGCTGGGAAGGTGAAATACAGAGTGAGTTTCACAGATTGACTACCGAAAATTATATAGTTCATTAATATATTGATCATACATTTAAATAATATTTTGAATATATTGGGTTAAATGATTACAATCAGTTTCACCTGTTACTTCTAATGTTTAAAAGGTGGTTATTAGGAAATTTAAAATTCACACGTGGCTTACATTTTATTTCTTAAAGGATTGCCTTCTTTTTGATATTTCAGGCTGCCTGATCAAACTACCAGAGGCCAGAAAGGTCATAAAATCTGAAACGTTAAAATCATTGCCATTATATTGTTTTCATTTGTGAATAACATATATATTATTTATAAATGGATATAACCTTATACAAAAGGTTAAATGAAAATACCCCTGGGCTGGGCCAGGCCCAGCGCGAGCAGGAAGCCCTGCATGAAAAGCCTGCAGCCAAGAACCCGTCACTTTGTGGCCTTCAGCCCAGCGTCCGATCACGTCCTCCGTCACTCAGTGACTGAGGGGGCGGGGCCTGGAGCCCTATCCAGTCAGGGGCGCTGACGCAGGAACCGTCCAATCAGGCGCGCAGCCGGACAGAAGGGCGCGGCTTCCGGGATCTGGCGGGGCCTTCGTCTCTCTCTGCAGCACTAGCTGGGCCGTCCTCTGTGCTCGGCGTGCTCCGCTCTGGGAAGCCCGGGTGGCCGCCACAGCCTCTTGCCCTTTGACCTGCAGGTATCAGGAGATCCATAGCTAAGAAGCCTGGACACCCGGGAAGCTGGGAAATGGTGAGTATGTGGGCGAGGTCCCGAGGTGGGCAGGGGGCTGATGGAAACGGGCTGGAACTGGCTGTGGCGGCCCCAGGCCTCCCCACAGCTCCCTCCGGAGTGTGCAGACCCGAGACCCCGCTGGACCCGGCCCCAGCTTCCCCTGGCCTCAGGATGTGGGCTTCCGCCAGCCTCACCCGGCGTCCGGTCCGCATCTGTGCTCGACTTCCGCCCGGCCTGGGCCCTGGCTGGCGGCTGTGCGGTGGCGGCGGCAGGGGCCTGGGGGAGCGCCCGACCCAGGAGGAGCCACTGCGTGGGAGGAGCTGTGGGGCCTGGGGTCCCAGGCCTCCTTTCTCCTGGTAAAAATGAAAAGGGAGTCAAGGTTTTAACGTTAAAGAGATTATTTGAGCAAAGAGCTGTTCATCAGTGCAGAGCGCCCCGTCATGGTTTGTGGGTGCTTGGAGCAAAGGCTTTTGTAAGGGGCGTGAGGAAGCGAACCAAATTCAGAAATTACAGTGACAGTTGTGGAGTCGCCTCATTTGGACTGTCCAGGTGGAAATTTCCTGGTTATGTAATGAGAGGTTTGCGGTTGGTTCAACCTGAATATCGTTTCCCCCTATGAGCTGGATTTTTTTCCTTAGGAACCAGTGGTACTAGTGCTACTTCAGTCTAATTGACTGCTAGTTAATTATTTTAAACACTCCAGAGGGGGACTGGTTTTCCACTGCGTTTCCAAATGTGTAGCAAGCAGGGTCTCACATCCACCATCCTGTCCCCCCAGCCTATTTGTCCCTTATTGTACATTTCACACATAGTATTTTAATCATTTTTTCACAAAGCATTGGATGGCACTTTTTTTAGACATCTGTTTTCTGTTTGTAAACACTTCATGTGAGCAGAGAAGAATCCCCTGACACACTGCTTTAAAAAAATCTTTGCGTCTCTTCTTTTATCTTCTCCAGGCACAGACACCTTATCGGAATGTCTTTGGTTTGAGGTTCTGCTTTGGACATTGTACAGGGTCATGTGTCCTGAGCCACCCTCCTGTCTTTTTCTGTGCCTAGGTTTCATAATTGTCTGCGGGTGACCCAGGACTGTCTCAAGGCATGTTTAGTGACCATTAGCACCTTGTTCCTTTCCTCCCAGAGGACAGCCTCAGTGATGGAGGTGGAGCCTCTTAAGGGAGCAGATGGATGCCCTGGGGCTGAGAGGAAGCTGGTTCTACCCTTCAGTTACAAAGCTAACCCCTTAGGATATGAAGATTGTCTTCACCCAACTCCAGCTTCTGTTCCTTGGAGACACATTGCTGGTCAGCCAGTTGGATGCTGATATTGAGAAGATAAGACAGAAATGATTTCTGACATCTGGGTTCTCTCAGACTTGTGAAGGGGAAAAAACTGTTCCAAAGGACAAGGAAAACCCACTCTAGTGAGGGGGTGCAAGAATCTGCAGAGTCAAACCATTTGGGGCACAGTGTGGTGACTCCTGGGCAAGGGGGGAAGGTGGTCAGTGAGCAGTTCAGGGAGCAGTATGGAAACAGAGTAATGTCTCAAGTGATAGGATGGCCTGACTTGGCACTTGAGTCAGATTTGTCTGTGTTCCAATCAGCATTGCCACTTCCTGGGTTTTACACCTTGAAAAATTTTTTTCACTTATTTCAAGCTTAGTTTTTTTATTAACTGTCAATTGCATTTTAGCAGTAGAGCTTCAAAGGTAAGAAAATGTTTAAGAGGTGGATTTCAGAAAAGACATTAAATATATAGTCAAATATTCACTTGTTTAAAATTCTGATTTGCCTTTTTCTTCACTAGAGTGAGTGTAGTAAGTTTGTCAGGCCAGTTCTTTTTTTAGGGGGTGATTTTAAACAGAATCCCAGGACTTAGCTGTGGGAATGCTACCAGGGAAAGTAACAGGGAAAATCCTCTTCCAGTATGGCTATAGGAAATGAATACATTTCCACAAAAAAAAGTAGTAGATTAATTGGTGAATTACATTGATTCATCAAAATATGAGTTCCTCTTTTTTGCAGGATAGAGGACTTGTGGAGTTGGTATCTCTGTTATCTAGATGTCTGAGTTTAATACTGAATTTTGGAAGATGGGACTTGGCATCTCCTAGATATGTTCGTATGTGATTGTTTACTGAATAATTTGAATTATGGAAATAATGTGACATGTTTATTGTCTGAAACTGATAGTTTTGCTTTTTCTATTGAGGTATACAATGTAAGTGCCTTTTAATTTTATTCTCTTAAATAAACATTGTGTTTGAGTGATTTTGCTGGATCCTTCAAACACTGGGCATTTTCTCATTTACAACTTGAGTAACCTGGACTGGGAAATAGAAGTCGGAGCCCAGTGACTCTACGCTAAGGACAATCTTGAGCCTGCAAAAGAAGGTCATTGAAGGCCCAGTTAGTTCTTCCGGGGGGGGGCCTCCCCTGCAGGTGTCCCAGACTGCACACCCCAGCATGAAAGGAGCACTTCATACCCAGAGGAGCTGTATAGCCCTGGAGAGCTGGGATCCACAGGCAGATGCTGTTGGAGTCGGAATGGAAGGAGTCTGGAGGCTCTTTCTGAGGATGGAATTGTTATTGTTCTGGGACTGTTTCTAGACTTTGTCAAATAAAACAAATTCACATTTAGGTAAGAAGTTACTTAATTCTAAAGAAGTATTACAACAGAGGGAAAGCACCAAGTATGATATCTTCCAAGATCTCAAAGGTTAGGCAGACAAGGGCTTGCTTTCATTTGGAGGAACAAACCAGAGTACAAAGGTGAGAGTGAGAGGACAAGATGCAGGGTGGCAAATCACATCCTAGATCAGAGAAAGTTTGACTCCCAAATCAGCCTTAAGAGGGGCATAAATAGGAGCTGTATGTTAGCTCAAGCAGAGGGTGGTACAAATTCAGGGGCCTGGGAGGAGAGAATCTTAAGCAGTTTGGTTAATAAGTATTTTGTTCTAACAACTGAAGAAAAAATTGTTCAGCTGACTGTTTATAGGGGGAAAAATGGGAATTTGAGAGTCTGTGCCTGGCCTCGTGATAGGTATAAGCAGGAACTTCATCGAAGTTATAATGAGAGGGGTGTTGCTTTTTATTAAGCTATTCTTGGAGAACACAGAGCTGAAGGATTTCATTAATCACAGCTGTATTTACCCGCTCCGTCTTCCCCCATGACTTTCCATTGCCATATTCAGCTCTTCCATTTGACTGTTCCTGAGTTGTGTCTTTTACAGTAAACTGGTAAACATAAGTACAGTGCTTTGCTGAGTTCTGCGAACAGCTCTATCAAATTATTGAACTTGAGGAGTGGGTGATGGGAGTTTCTGATATATAGGCAGTAGCCCAGAAGTATTGGTGGGCCCCCGGGGACGTGTGACTGGCCCCTGCCATGGGGGCAGTGTTGTGGGACTGAGTCCTGAACCTGTGGGTCCTGTGCTCACTTTGGGTGGTGTCAGAATTGAGTTTTTGGACACCCTGTTGGTGTTGGAGCATTGGTTGGTGTTCAGTAAACTCCACACATTTGGTGTCAGAAAAAAAGACATCACAGCCTGTAATCCCAGCACTTTGGGAGGCAGAGGCGGGCAGATCACAAGGTCAGGAGATTGAGACCATCCTGGCTAACACAGTGAAACCCTGTGTCTACTAAAAATACAAAAAATTAGCTGGGCGCGGTGGCGGCCGCCTGTAGTCCCAGTTACTTGGGAGGCTGAGGCAGAATGGCGTGAACCTGGGAGGCGGAGCTTGCAGTGAGCCCAGATTGCGCCACTGCACTCCAGCCTGGGCAACAGAGCGACACTCCGTCTCAAAAAAAAAAAAAAGACATCACAGCGGCCAGGGCTGGAGGCATCTCAGGGTGTCCCAGGATTGGGAAGCTCCGTTATGCTGCACGCACATTGCACATTCTCCTGGGATTCCAGCTTTCCTCTCAGGATCAGACAGGACTGAGGACTTAGAAGCAAAGAGTTCTGAAGACAGACCCCCTCTTTACTCTGCTGCATGGTTTTCACCCACTTGTAAACATACCCACTAGGCACTGACATGGCCATATCCCTCCCAGAACAAGGCCTCACCCTCAGAAATCCCGTCACAGCACCTTTGCTTCTAGAGTTTCCCACAGAAAACCCACACAGGTGCCTGGAAGACTCCTGGCCTATCCCCACCCCCTGCAACCTGGTCCCTCCAGCCACCCAGGCTTTTGGATGATACGACCGTCATCTCATCGCCTGCATGGACACAGGAGTGAGCCGGAGCATAGCCCCACTTGGGCCAGTATCTGTAGGCACAAACCACTTCTTCACTAACCCTGCGCTGAGTACTTAACATGGGTACTTACTAGCACTTTTCTATTTTTTTCTTTCCTACAAACCCTCTTTGATATGCACAATTTGTCCAAGGCTAACCCTCAAGTGCCTGAATCTAGACCTACTGGAGTTCAGATATCCATGAGTCCAAGATGATGGCCCTTGACTTAGCTGTGGAAGGTCATTGAAGGCCCAGTTACTTCTTCCCGGGGAATCTGGGCTGTGGCAGGTCATTGAAAGCCCAGTTAGTTCTTCCTGGGGAGCACCCCCTACAGGTGTCTGTACACCCCAAACATGAAAGGAGCTCTTTATACTGAGAGTAGCTAGAAATAAGAGGCTTAATTCCCCCACCAGAAAATAGGAGAATAAATTTTGTTCTTCTCCCCTTTTTTAAAGCTTTTATTTACTTTATTTTATTTTTTGAGACATGGTTTCATTCTTTTCACTCAGGCTAGAGTGCAGTGGCACATTCATAGCTTACTGCAGCCTCAAACTTCTGGGCTCAAGTGATCCTCATTCCTCAACAGCGAGAACTAAAGGGACACACCACACCACATGGCAAATTTTATTTTTTATTTTGTGTAGAGGTGAGATCTCAATTCTGTTGCCCTGGATGGTCTCGAACTCCTGGCTTCATGCTGTCCTCTTGCCTTGGCCTCCCAAGTGCTGGGATTACAGGCATGAGCCACTGTGCTGACACAGACGTCTTAAAGCCCCAGTTTCAGAGTGGCACCCTTTGAGTTTTCCAAGTCCAGTGACCTGTTAACAGTTGTGTGAGAAGCTCCTGGTATAAAAAGAGCCTGGTGGCCGAGGTGGGCAGATCACCTGAGGTCGGGAGTTCAAGACCAGCCTGACCAACATGGAGAAACCCCATCTCTACTAAAAATACAAAATTAGCTAGGGTGGTAGTGCATGCCTGTAATCCCAGCTACTCAGGAGGCTGAGGCAGGAGAATCGCTTGAACCCGGGAGGCAGAGGTTGCGGTGAGCTGAGATCGTGCCACTGCACTCCAGCCTGGGCAACAAGAGTGAAACTCCATCTCAAATATAGATATCTATATATATCTATATTTGAGATATATATAGATATCTATATATCTGTTTTGTTTTGTTTTGAGATGGAGTCTCATTCTGTCACCCAGGCTGGAGTGCAGTGGGGTGATCTCAGCTCATTGCAACCTCTGCCTCCTGAGTTAAAGCAATTCTCCTGCCTCAGCCTCCTGAGTAGCTGGGATTACAGGTGCCTGCCACCACGCCCAGCTAATTTTTTTGTATTTTAGTAGAGACACAGTTTCACCATGTTGGCCAGGATGGTCTTGAACTCCTGACCTCAGGTGATCCGCTCACTTCAGCCTCCCAAAGTGCTGGGATTACAGTTGTGAGCCACCGTGCCGGCCTGTTTTCTATTTTTGCCCCACAGAATCATCCGGAATCTCTCTTGCCTAGATCACCATGGAGACATAAGCCCAGGGTCACTGAGGACCCTGTCACAGGTACCGAGGAGTCTTTAAACATTAGTGCAGACTAAGGTCAGGCTGACAAAAAGGTCTAAATCTGCTTCCAGTCTATGGCCATACCACTCCGAACATGCCCAGTCTCATCTCATCTTGGAAGCTAAGCAAGGTCAGGCCTGGGAATACTGGATGCTGTAGGCTTTTTTCCTGTTTTCTTTTTCCATTAAAAATAAATAAATAAACAAAGCTGCTTCCATCTCAGAGGAAGAGAAATGAGTCATGCATGTTTCTTCTCCCCCCCCCCCCACAAAAGGAATCTCTTTGATTGATATCCAGATGGGACTGGCTCCAGTTTCCTGGTATTGGGTAAAAAACAAGGAGGAGATCTCGAGACTCAAACTGATAAACCAGTTGCTTCCATTTCATATGTCGGTTACAAAAACAGATGACACAGTCATGGGTCCTTACCAACCAGGCACTTTCAGTCTAGAGCCAGTGGATAAACGGTTGAATTCAGCATCCTGTGGTCAGTACAAGGAAGGGAGGTAGGGAGGTATACAGGGGATTGTGGCTTCATTGGGGCCACTTCTGTTTTCTTGTTCTTTTGTGAGTTCTGGTGTTGCCACCTGAAGGGCTATCCGTGGACAAAAGAGTTGTTATTATCTTTATTTCTATTGCATTTTCCTTGCCAAGAATAAATATTTAGTTTCTAATATATTTGTCCTAGAAAGCTCGAAGGGTGTTGGTTAAATTGGTCATTACTGTATCTTATAAAGTAGACAAGGAAGTGGCTAAAATTGGTTAAAATTACACAAACTCTGGGAGTCAAGTGTCTGTTGGGCAGGCTTAGGAAAAACAGAACCGGTAGTACCCAGAGGCATAAAGATGAGAAGCTGAGGGCCTGCTTCTTGGCTCTGCTCTGCCAGATCAACCTGCTTCCCCAGGCCTTCTCCCACCCTGAAATCTCCCACACAGAATTCGTTAGAGGACATCAGAGTTTTGCATGGTGGTTCCTGTGCTCTCTCCAGAGGAGGGGCTCACAGTTTTCCCAAATCCAAAAGCAGATAAATGAGAACAAAGAACTGTGTGATTGGGGACCTTTGTTTTTCGTTGAGACCAGTGCTGCTGGAGACCTGCCACTCAGCAACCTGTTCATTCCTGCAGGTCAAGTTGTTTTTCATTCCTGCAGATCCAGTAGTTCCTACTTATAAGAAAGTAAATACAAACACGACAACGAAAAATCCCTGTCAACTACATTTAACCCCTTCTTTCTGTATCTCTCCCATCTGTCTGTATTTAGCTTTTATTCTATATATTTTCTTTCTAAAACTCAGTGATGGAGAAACAGATAAAGAACAGCTGGGCCCTTCATGTAAATCCTGGGGATTATGGAACATTGCATTAATGCCCGTGTCCATGTTGTTCTCCCAGTGCAGGCTGGTCTTGAACTCCCGACCTTAGGTGATCCGCCTGCCTCGGCCTCCCAAAGTGCTGGCATTACAGGCGGAAGCCACTGCGCCCGGCCAAAGCATTTCTGTTGTGATACCAGTGTTGGGTACAAGGGACTCTGTGCTGTGTTTGCCTTCTCTCACTGAGTGGTGCTGATAAGGAGTCCGGGAAAACAGTATCAGAAGATTTGTTATAGAAGCCAATTTGCAGACCCCTTTCACACCTGCGGAAACACATTACTTAGAATGGGGCCTGGAATACCAAATTCGAATACCAAATTATTTATATGTACATTGAAGCCTGAGAGACAGTATTCAGCTATGTGGCTCTCAGCCCAGGCTTCCAATGAGAATCAAATAGCCAGTTTGGAGAACTACCATCACACGTGTCCTCTCCAAAGATCCTGTCTGTGGTCTGAATGGAAGCATAATTGTTGTTTTAAGTAAGTGCCCCCCAACGATCCTAAGGTGAGATGAGAGTCAAGCTTGAGGGCTCCCAGATACAGTCACGAGACTTGAGTTCCAAAAGGAGGTCAAAGGGCTCTACTTGGGTTGGATAGGGGTAGGTCACCAAGGTCCGTATTTCCTTTGCTGTACCAGAAATTGCTGGAGTTCATAGCAGGGGAGATCACCTGAAGGCAGGAAATTTTTGGTCTTTATGTGGTAGCTCATTTTTCCTCTCTCCCATGACAAAGAGTAGGGGAGTATTCCCTTTTCTGCACTTCAGGGCCTTCTACCTGTAGGTGTGCTGGTTGCAGTTGAAAGGGTTGTGCTGACACCTTTAAAGGCATATTCTCAAATGCAGGTGTGATTTGTCCAGATAATCTCACCTGAGAAGGAATCCCAGAGAAGAAGGAAGAAGAGGAAGAAATGGCTGGTTCTCAGGTGAATGTGTCTGGGTTCAGGGGATGTGTCCTCTTTTCTTCTGGGACGTTATGTGTTTAGAACTTGCAAACCTTTATTTCTGTACTTCTGATGTACCTGCCTAATGTGTTTCTTTCCAACTACTTCCCCCCCGGCTTTTTCTTATGATTGAGAATCAAGGACCTCTGTAAAATCCTTCCTCCTGTATACCAGAACCTTCTCTCCATTGTCTCCATCCAGGCTTCTTATATGTCATGACCAAATCTTACCATTAATGTATGATGGGCAGTATTGAAATGTTCTGTGACATATCAACATGGGAAAGTGTGGATCCCCAGGATTACCTCTGGGAATGGGGCTGGGTCTTGGGGTGTCAGTGAAGAAGGGGACCATGTACTGTTTAGATTTCATCCACATGCTCCATCATCTCTATGCAGAACAGAATTAAGAAAAGAGAATTTAAAGAGGATGACATTCATTGCCTGGAATAACTTAAAGTTCTGAAAAGAGAATAATTAGAAGACACTTGCTGTCTAGGATGCTAAAGAAACACTATTGAAAAACACTAAAGAACCAGGGAAATATCTATAGCTTGAACTTTGCATAAAACTGATGTTTCTGATGCAGCTGGAAACCATCATTCTCAGCAAACTATTGCAAGAACAGAAAACCAAACACCGCATGTTCTCACTCATAGGTGGGAATTGAACCATGAGATCACTTGGACTCTGGAAGGGGATCATCACACACCGGGTCCTATTGATGTTTCTGGCCAGACACTGTGGCTCACACCTGTAATCCCAGCACTTTGGGAGGCCAAGGTGGGCAGATCACTTGAGGTCAGGAGTTCAAGACCAGCCTGGCTACCATGGTGAAACCCCATCTCTACTAAAAATACAAAAATTAACTGGGCGTGGTGACGTGCGCCTGTAGTCCCAGCTACTTGGGAGGCTGAGGTGGGAGAATCCATCGAACCCAGGAGGCAGAGGTTGGAGTGAGCCGAGATTGCACCATTGCACTCCAGCCTGAGCAACAGAGCAAGACTGTCTCAAAAACACAAAACAAAAAACCGGATGTTTCTACATGATTAGATTCAGATTGTAATTTACTATTTTTGTGGTCAATAATATCAGAGCAGTGATGTTGTGTCCTTGATGTCATGTGATCCTTGTATGTGATCCTTGATGTCAATTTATCCTATTATAGTTGATGTTAATTTTATTTACTTGTTAAGGTGCTCTCTGTCAGATTTTTGCACTATAGAGTTATTTTTCTCATTATTATTTAGTACCTTGGGGAGATTTACTGACTGATATAAATAAGCCATCACATTTAATTGGGAAGCTCTTCTTTCTTTTTAGATTCTCCTTGCTTATAGCTTGCTTTGGAAAATGAAGGCTCTCGTGTTTGTTTATTGGTTAGATAAACTGAAATAAACACAGGCTCTGCCACTTCCTGCATGTTCGAAAGAATATTTTCCTTGGCCCAGACACAGTGGCATCATAGTATAGCCCACTTAGAAATTCAGAAACTCAGGCTTCACCCTAGGTCTGGATCAGAACCTGCATTTTAAGAAGAAGATCCCTAGTTTATTGTGTACACATTAAAATTTGAGGGGTACCTTCTGATGAATCATGACTTCTACATATGAGAAATATTTACAACTTATCCTGTGTGATGTAAATATAGCAGGAAAAAAAATGTATGTGCCTGTGTTGATACCCTTAATTTTATACTGTATTATTCACAAGAGTAGAATATCTACAGTGGTTATGTGGAGCTTATGCCATCCTCTTTCTTCAGAATTAAGAGAATACGTTAGAGAATATTTCTGTGTTTACAATTATTTGATCATTTCAGTCTCTTCTGTAAGAACTAGTTCTGTCTGTCTCTCTTTGTGCCTGGAATCAAATTAAGAACTCTACCCTTGGCCACTTGATAAGTATGTGTTTTCTCTTTTCCAGGGACTGTTGATATTCAGGGATGTGGCCATAGAATTCTCTCCGGAGGAGTGGAGCTATCTGGACCCTGCTCAACAGAATCTGTATAGGGACGTGATGTTAGAAAACTACAGAAACCTGGTCTCTCTGGGTGAGGATCACTTCAATGCACAATTTCTATTTCACGCTAAAGATTTTATTTCCTTCGTTGTAGAATATTTTTGGGAATTTCTGCTTTGCATGAATGAGTTTCTGCTTTCAAGGAAAACTTGGGGATTTGTTGGTGTAGAAAAAAATAATCTTGAAGGTATTTTATCTTGACATTATCTTTCCTTTCTTGAGGTGATGTGCATACTCTAGTGGTGGTAATTCCAGAAATTTTGTGGCATAAAATAGTGTTGCTACACCCTAAAAAATCCAGTTACCACCACCAATTTTTGATTCAGTAGCAATAGGTAGTGAAGCTAGGGACTCACAAATTTAAAATACTTTCTAAATATTCTAAAGGTTCTGTCAGGAAACAGTATTTTGGGATTAATTTTCTAGAATCTGCTATTTCCTCATTACTGAGCACAGTACTAGGTTGGTAATTAGAGAATCCAAGCAAGAGTCATGCTACTTTTTAAAAAATAAAACAGGTCCTTTTAAAAAAATTTTTTTTTAAATAAAACAGGTATTGCTGTCTCTAAGCCAGACCTGATCACCTGTCTAGAGCAAAGGAATGAGCCGTGGAATGTGAAGAAACATGAGACAATAGGCAGACACCCAGGTAGGTGGGAGTAAATGAAGTAGATGATACAGATGAGAGGTTCAAAGATCAAGGAGGAAGCCAGACCTTAAAATGTGGTTTGGGAAGCTCTGCTCCAATGGAAATGATTTCTGAGAAGCCTGCGTTTCTTTCCCTTGCTCTCACAAAGCAACACCTCTGTCCCATGCTCTGAAATTCTTTTAGGGCTCTGCTTTCCCTTCAGTGATCTTTCAAGATGACAGTGAGAGCCAAAGTCGTCTTCATAGCTTGGAACAGACCGTATGATCTGATTGTTCTTCCATTGCTTTGGGGACACAGGAATATCTGTATTTTTGAAAAGCTGTGTGTTAAACTATTTTTTAAGTTCCCTTTTTGCATTATGTCCAAGGTGTGTGAGAGTAGTGGGATTTGGCTCCGAATCCCAGGAACACTAGAACAGATGTTACGTGTTTTCTGCTTTGTGATTTCCCATTCTAGAGAGGTTTTAAACGTCATTCTCTAGAAATTTATACTCAGTAATTTTATAAGAACACTAGACATCTCCCTAAATGTAAGAAACTGTTATTTTTTATTAAACATTTATTGTTTTAGTATAAACTGAGATTGGTAATTTAAACTCTGCCCAAAATTCTCAACTGTAGTATAGTTTAGTGTATCTATTCACATCTGTATTAGTTGGTTTTCACGCTGCTAACAAAGACATACCTGAGACTGGGAAGGAAAAGAGGTTTAGCTGGACTTACAATTTCCACATGGCTGGGGAGGCCTCAGAATCATGGCGGGAGGCTAAATGCATGGCAGCAGCAAGAGAAAATGAGGAAGAAGCAAAAGCAGAAACTCCTGAGAAAGCCATCAGATCTCATGAGACTTACTATCATGAGAACAGCACGGGAAAGACCAGCCCCCATGATTCAGTTACCTCCCCCTGGGTCCCTCCCACAGCATGTGGGAATTCTGGGAGATACAATTTAAGTCGAGATTTGGGTAGGAGCACAGCCAAACCATATCAACTTCCTAGATTTCTTAAATATGCTATGTATTTGGGTAGCTTAGAGCAGTGCTAAGCATATATTTAACTTCCACTTGCTACCTTAGTTTATAATAACTGTAATTTTATAATTTTGTTTGGTATGACCGGAACTGTTATTCATATATATGTTGGTGTGTATACATTTGTGTATATATGTACATGTGTGTAACGTAGATTTTTTCACAAATAAAAATTGTGTAAGTATTGTGTACAATGTGATGATTTGATACAACTATCTTAGCAAATTTTAAGCATACAGAACACTATTAAGAACTACAGTCACAATGCTATACACTAGATCCCCAAAATGTATTTCTCTTATAATGGAAAGTTGTACTCTTTGAACAACAGCTCCCTATTTTTGCTACCTCTAGCCTCTCGCAATCATCTTTGTACTCTCTGCTTCTATGAGTTCAACCCTTTTTGATTCCCCTTATAAGAGAGATTATGCAGTATTTTTCTTTCTGTGCCTGGCTTATTTCACTTAGCATAATTTCCTCCATGTTCATCCATGTTGTTGAAATGGCAGGATTTTATTATTTGTAATGACTGAATAATATTCTAATATGTGTGTACTTTTATTTTTAGTGTCTGCAAACATTTAGGTTGTTTTCATATCTTGGCAATTGTGAGAAATGCTGCAGTGAACATGAGGGTACAGTTTTTTTTCTTTTGAGATAATTATTTTATTTCCTTTGGTTATTTACACAGAAGTGGGATTGATGAATTATATGGTAGTTTTACTTTTTCATTTTTTAATTAAGAACCTCCATACTGGTTTTGCTAATGGCTCTATCAGTTTACAGCACAGCAACAATATATGGAATTTATTTTTCTTCACACCTTTGTGAATACTTGTACTGGCTTATTTCAGTTAGCATAATGTTCTCAAGCTTTATCCTTATCATACAACGTGACAATATCTCCTCCTCCTTTAAGGCTGATAATATCAATTTTATGTATATGCCACATTATCTCTTTTGTAGTTTTTTTATTTGTATGAATTTATGGGGTATAAATTAATTTTCTTAAGTGGAGAGATTATGCGATAGTGAAGTCAGGGCTTTTGTCCATCCCTTGAATAATACACATCTCTCTTATTTTTGGTGTTTGCCATCCAAACAGGTGTGAGGTGATGTGTCATCGTGGCTTTGAGTTGCAGTTGTTTGATGATCAGTGATGCTGAGCACCTTTAAGGATACATTTTTAGTAACGTTACACGTATTGACATTGTCATGCAAAAGATTGCTAGACATTTTACATCTCGTAAAACCAAAACTCAGTACTCCTTAAGTAAGAACTGCCCATTTTATTCTCTCTCCAGCCCTTGACAAACACCCTTCAACTTTCTATATGATCTTGGCTACTTAAGATATTATATAGAAATAGAATCATACACTGTCACTGGTCCTGGCTTATTTCAGTTAACATAATATTCTCAAGCTTTATCCTTATCATACAATGTTTCCTTCTTTAAGGCTAAATAATCTCAATTTTATGCATATGCCACATTTATTTTTATTCATCAGTTGGGGGACATCAGGGCTGATTCTGCATTTTGGCTTTTGTGACTAATGCTGCAATATATCTTCTAGGTTCTGAGTTGCATACTTTGAATATATACTCAAAAATGGGATTGCTGGATTATATGATAATTCCATTTTTAGTGTTTTGAGGAATCTCTATACTGGTTTTTAATAGTGGCTGTTGTCATATTTTTTCATCAACAGTTCACACATTTCGCCACATCCTTGACAGATTAGTTTCTGTTGGTCTTTTTTTTTTTTTTTTTTTTCCCAGACAGAGTCTTACTCTGTCACCCAGGTAGGAATGCAGTGGCGCAGTCTCGGCTCACTGCAATCCCCGCTTCCTGGGTTCAAGTGATTCTTGTGCCTCAGCCTCCCGAGTAGCTGGGATTACAGGCATGCACCACCATGCCCGGTTAATTTTTGTGTTTTCGGTAGAGATGGGGTTTCACCATGTTGGCCAGACTAGTCTCGAACTCCTGGCCTCATGTGATTCACCCGCCTCAGCTTCCCAAAATGCTGGGATTACAGACATGAGCCACTGTGCCCGGCTCTGTTAATTTTTAATAGTGACCATTTTGATGGATGTGAGGTGATACCTCATTGTGATTTTGCTTTGCAGTTCTCTACAAATTAGTAATTTTCAGCATTCTTTCAATTACCTGTTGGCCATTTGAGTATTATCTTTTAAAGAAAAGTCAGTTCAATCCTTTGTCCATTTTTAAATCAAATTATTATTTTTTGGGGGCTGAGTTTTAGGAGAGATACATTCTGTACATTAACTCCTATCAAATATCTAATAGGTAGATATTTTCACCCATTTTTAAGGTGGCATTTTCCCTCCACTAGTTGTTTCCTTTAATGTTCAGAAATTCTGAAGTTTGTGTAGTTCAGTTTTTTTTGTTCTTTGTTGCTTATGCATTTGACATCATATCCAAGAAAACAGTGCAAAGACCAATGTCATGATCTCCTCTATATTTTCTCCTGAGAGTTTTGTTATATTTTTACGTTTAAGTATTGAATCCTTTTAAAATATTGTTTGCATATAATGCAAAGGAAGGGTCCAACTTAATTTTTTTCATGTAGATACTCAGTTTTCAACATGATTTGTTGAAGAGGCTCTCCTTTCCCTATTGTGTGGCCATAGCAACCTTGCGGAAGATCATTTGATTGTATACAAAAGGGTTTATATCTAGGTTCTCTCTTCTGTTTCATTATTTATTAATATTTATCTTTTTATAGCTTTGCATAATGTGTTTGAAACCAGGAAGTGTAAAGCCTCTTCTTCTTTTATAGTTTTTGTTGTTGTTGTTTTGTTTTTTTGTTTTAATAATAGAGGCAGGGTCCAATCTGACTTCAAACTCCTGGCCTCAGGTGATCCTCTCATGTTTACCTCCCAAAGTGCTAGAATTACAAGCATAAGTCACCATACCCATCCTTTTCTTTTTTTGAAATGGTGTTTAGCTAGTCATAGTTTCTAAGCAAATTTTAGGATTTGGAAAATATTTCTGCAAAAAAAGTACCATTGGGATTTTGATAGAGATTACGTTGAATTTGTACATCACTGTTGGTACTGGTATCTTTTTTTTTTTTTTTTTTTTTTTTTTTTTTGAGATGGAGTCTCACTTTGTCACCCAGGCTGGAGTGCAGTGGCACGATCTCGACTCACTGCAAGCTCTGCCTCCTGGGTTCACGCCATTCTCCTGCCTCAGCCTCCCGAGTAGCTGGGACTACAGGTGCCCGCCACCACGCCCAGCTAGTTTTTTTGTGTTTTTAGTAGAGGCAGGGTTTCACCGCGTTAGTCAGGATGGTCTCCATCTCCTGACCTGACCTCGTGATCCACCTGCCTTGGCCTCCCAAAGTGCTGGGATTACAGGCGTGAGCCACCATGCCCGGCCAGTACTGATATCTTAACAAAAAATCATCTGACCCTTGAGCAAGAATATGTTCAACAGTGTGTTTAATTCCTACATATTTTGGATTTGGTTAGGAAAAAATACATTGTTTGATTTCAGTCTTCTTAAATTTGGTAAGTTGTTACATGTCCTAACAGAATGAGTACACAATTGATAATATTGTGTATTCTGCTGTTTTTCCTGGAGAATTCTGTACATGTCTGTTAGGTCTAATTAGTCTATAATCCTTAAATTTTCTGTTTTCTTATTGATCTTCTATGTGATTTTTCTATTCATTATTGAAAGTGGAATCTTGAAGTCTACAGTTGTGTTGCTGTGTATTTCTTATGTCATTTCCATCAATATTCACTTCATATATGTGGCAGCAAATATTGCTCCATATATACACACACACACATATACACATATACTATATATATATGTATGTTTGTGTGTGGAGTGTGTGTATATAAAACTGTTAAAGATTTTTGGTAAATGGGCCTATTTTACTATTATATCAATCTTTGTCTTGTGTGACAGTTTTTAATTTAAAATGTGTCTTGTATAATTGTGGCCACACCACCCAATTGTAGTTACTATTTTCATGGAATATATTTTTTTCATTCTTTACTTCCAGCCAATTTGACTCCTTTAGAGCTGCAGTTGAGTCTGTTGTATACCGCATATTTTAGAATCTTGTTTGTTCTTAATCCATTCAGCCATTTCCTTTTCATTAAGGAATTTAATCCATTTATATTTAAAATAATTCCTAAAGGAAATGGCAGTACTATTACCACCTTGTTTGTAATTGTTTTCTGTTCCTTGTAGATACGTTGTCCCTCATTTCCTCTCTCACCTCTCTCACTGCCTTCCTTTTTGTTTTGTTGACTGTGTAGTGACATGCTTTGATTCTTTTCTCATTTTCTTTTGCATTACTTCTATAAGTACTTTCTTTGTGATCACCTTGAGAAATGGACAGTTCATAAAACTTATTAAAGTTCTGATAATCTATCTTATAACTTCCCTACAATTGAGTATGAGAATTATTTATCTTTATATTCCCCATTTGATATTAATGTCAAAAATTATATCATTTTATATTGTGCATTTATTAATAGATTTATGGAGATTTATGTTGTTTTTCACATTGTACAAAATTTTTGGTTTTATGTAACATTTGACAATTCTATATCTGTGTATATATTTACCTTTAACAGCTTTATATTTTCATATGAATTTATGATGTTGTCCAGCATCATTTTATTGTTCAACATAATGGACTGCTTTTATCATTTCTTGTAGGACCGTACTAGTAGCAGCAAACATTCTCAGCTTTTGTTTATCTTGGAAGTCTATTTTTCACTTATTTTTGAAAGTAAATTTCTTTTAGATCAAGTATCCTTAGTAATATCTTTGGTTTTATCTCATTGGAATTTTAGAAGTTCTCAGCACCACCCCCTTTTTTTTTTTTTTTTTTTGAGACGGAGTCTCGCTCTGTCGCCCAGGCTGGAGTGCAGTGGCGTGATCTTAGCTCACTGCAAACTCCGCCTCCCGGGTTCACGCCATTCTCCTGCCTCAGCCTCCCGAGTAGCTGGGATTACAGGCGCCCGCCAACTCACCCGGCTAGTTGTTTTGTATTTTTAGTAGAGACGGGGTTTTGCCGTTTTAGCCAGGATGGTCTCGATCTCCTGACCTCGTGATCCACCCGTCTCGGCCTCCCAAAGTGCTGGGATTACAGGCTTGAGCCACCGCGCCCGGCCAGCACCACCCCCTTTTTAAAAAAAATAACTTACCACCTTTCACCTATATCTTCTTAGTATCTTTTTATTGGTCTACTGAATGGTTTCCATTAAGTCCAATATTTCATCTTCATTTTTTTCCATTTTTAAATGTTACATACAACTCAATATTTATAAACGATATGTCTTCAATTTGCTGATGTTTTTTCTGCCTCATTAAGTCTGCTGTTTTAGCTCTTTAGTAAATTTTTCAACACAGTGTATTTTCCAGCTCAACAATTTTAGTTAGGTTTTTGTTTTTTGGTTTTTTTTTTGAGACAAAGGCTTGCTCTATTGCCCAGGCTGGAGTGCAGTGGAGTGATCTCTGCTCACTGCAACCTCTGCATCCCAGGTTCAAGCAATTCTTCTGCTTCAGCCTCCCGAGTAGCTGAGATTACAGGCGCCTGTTACGCCCAGCTAATTTTTTTGTATTTTTAGTAGAGATGGGGTTTCACCATGTTGGCCAGACTGGTCTTGAACTCCTGACCTTGTGATTCACCTGCCTCAGCCTCCCAATGTGCTGGGATTACAGGCGTGAGCCACCACACCCAGCTTAGTTGGGTTCTTTTTTATAGTTTCTTTTTTTTTAATCTCTTTGTTGATGTATTATTTTCCTCATGCATGGTTTTTCTGTTTTGTTTTGTTTTTTTTTAAACAGGGTTTCACTCTGTCATCCTGGCTGGTGGTATGCAGCAGTATGATCATAGCTCACTGTAGCTTCAGACTCCTGAGCTCAAGTGATCCTTCCACCTCAGCCTTCTAAGTAGCTGAGACTATAGGCGTATACCACCATGCCTGGCTAATTGAAAAAAAAAATTGTAGAGACAGTCTCACTGTGTTACTCAAGCTGGTCTTGAACTCTTGGTCTCAAGCAATTCTCCCACCTCAGCCTTCCAAAAGCTGGAATTCCAGGTGTGAGCCTCTGTACATAGCCAGGATTTATTTTTAAATGAACAATAAGCAGAGTATTTTACTTTATGTAAACCATATTGCTCTTGTCACCATGCCCAACCTGATTTTGTATAGTTATCTATGTGTGTTCTACTTTTGGTTATTGAACATGTTTAAGATGATTACTTTAAATTCTTTGTCAAAAACATGCAAAAATCTCCCTTTTTTAAGGGTCAGTTTCTAGAGATTTGTTTCTTCAAGTAGGGCAGGTTTCCTATTTTCTCTGTGTGCCCTGTGATCCCATACACAAAAATTTCTGTAGTACTAGAATGATGATATATGAAACAACTATGCTCTGGTAATCTCACAGAAGCATGCTTATAGATGACACATTGCTTTTCCCTTTCTGTTTTTGAGATTCTCTTCTCATCTGTAATTTTTTGAAACTGCTTATAATGTATCTTGTTATGGGTCTGTCTGTGTTTATCCTATTTGAAATGTGTTGAGCTTCTTAATTTATTTATTTTTTTACATTTGAGAATTTGTCAGGGTTTTTTCTTTTATTCTTTAACCCAACAATTTCTATTTCTTTTTATACTTTTCTCATTTTCTTAATTTCATGTGTTTTCCCGTTTTACTCATTGGGCATTATTCAGATGGTTATCTCAAATTTTTCAGGTAACTTATACATCTCCATTTCTTTAGGGTTGATTTCTGAACATTTATTTATTTATTTGTTTGTTTGTTTATTTATTTTTTGATTGAGCCATGTTATCCTAATGTATATGTAGCAATCTTTGGTTGAGATTTGGGCACTAAAATCCACCTGTCAAAATCTTTATAAAATGGCCTTGTCCTGGGTGGTCTGACACCAAGTAACTCAGGTTAGGGTTTCCATGAGCCTCTCAAACCTATTCTCAGGATGTATGTTCTCTGGAATTTTGTGTTTAATTTCCAGTTAAAGAGGTTTACCCTTGTTTCTTCTTTCTTTCTTCTTCTCTAATCAATTATTTGCTAAATCTGTTGTCTGTCTGTGGTACTGCAGCTTCTCTGCTGCTATAACAATTATTTACCTTTGGTCTCAGCAGAACCAACCTGTAATTCAAAGGTTGGTTCTATTCTACCACTATTCCTTTCAGCACTTTGGGTCATGGGAGACAGAAACTAGTCTTTGGAAATTCCATCAAAAGTATGGGCATATGTGCCCCTACTGTTTCTATTGAAGGAGAAGCTAGGAGTTGGGAGTTTATTCCTGAAGTCATTATGCTGTATTGAGGGGAAGAAAGAGTTGTGGTGGGTAAATGTAACAAGCTTTCCTTCTCCGTGTCTGTGGCTTTTAATATGGTTTCTAGAGTTCTCACAAAGACATTTTGTTCAGTATATTTTTGTTATACTATGTTCATGAAAAAATCAGGGCCTGTAGTATTTTATTATGCTATCTCGCTAATGTGTTTAGTATAATTTCATACATTATCTTTTTAGATTATATTCACCTAAGTCCAGTAAGTTGGATAATATGTTATTTTAATTTTTTTCAGCTGTTTCTTCTCATTTCACCCAAGACCTCTTGCCAGAGCATGGTATAAAAGATTCATTTCAAAAAGTGATACTGGGAAGATATGGAAGCTGTGGCACTGAGAATTTACACTTAAAGAAAGATTGGGAAAGTGTGAGTGAATCTAAGGTGCAGAAAGAATGTTATAATGGACTTAACCAATCTTTGTCAACTACCCATACCAAAATCTTTCAATTTAATAAATGCATGAACGTCTTTAGTAAACCATCAAATCTAAATAGACATAAGATAAGACATACTGGAGAGATATCTTCCAAGTGTAAAGAATGTGACAATTCCTTTTACATATCCTCAATTCTAACTCCATTTCAGAGAATCCACACTGCAGAGAAATCCTACAAGTGTAAACAATGTGGGGAAGCCTTCAAGCACTGCTCATGCTTTATTGAACATAAGACAGTTCATAATGAAGAGAAACATTTCAAGTGTAAAGAATGTGGCAAAGTGTTTAAATCGTTCACAAGCCTTTCTAATCACATTATAATTCATACTGGAGAGAAACTCTATAAATGTGAAGAATGTGGCAAAGCTTTTAACCACAGTTCAAACCATGCCAAACATAAGAAAATTCACACTGGAGAGAAACCCCATAAATGTGAAGAATGTGGCAAAGCCTTTAACTGGTTCTCATACCTAACTCTACATAAAAGAATTCATACTGGAGAGAAACCCTACAAATGTGATGAATGTGGCAAAGCCTTTAACCAGTGTTCAAACCTCACTAAACATAAGAGAATTCATACTGGAGAGAAACCCTACAAATGTGAAGAATGTGGCAAAGCTTTTAACCGGTGCTCACACCTTACTGAACATAAAAGAATTCATACTGGAGAGAAACCCTATAAATGTGAAGAATGTGGTAAAGTCTTTATATCTTGTTCAAGCCTTTCAAACCATAAGAGAATTCATGCAAGAGAGAAATGCAACAAATCTGAAGAATGTGGCAAAACCTTTAACCACTGCTCAGACCTTAATGAACATGAGAAAATTCATACCTGAGAAAAATCCTACAAATGTAAAAAATGTGGCAAAGCCTTTAATACCTGTTCATGTCTTACTCAGGATCAGAGTTCATGTTGAACTAAAGAATTACTGTCAAAACACCTTTCACAGAAAAAAATAATTTTACCACAGATTAATTTGTTCATTAATGGAACTTTAATTCTCTGTCTTTTTTTTTTTTTTTTTTGGTCTACATAAATCTATCCGTATGCCAGTACTGTATTGTTTAATTACTGTAACATTGTAGTAAGAGTTTATATCAGGAGTGTAAGTTACTGAATTTTGTTATTTTTTTCAGAATTCTTGTGTGTTTTTCTTTACATGTTTATATGGATTTTAGGAAGAGCTTGTCAATTTATATTAAAGAAAAGCTACATTGGAATTTGCATTGAATCTGTAGATAAATTTGTTGGGTATTTTGATCTTCAAATTCAGTATTGCTATCTTTGAATATTGAGTATATCTCAGTTTATTCAGCTCTTTGATTTCTTTCAGCATTTTAAATAATTTTCAGTGTATAGTATGTGCCGTTATTTTAAGTTTGTTTCTAATTTTTTTCTAGGATACTATTAATGAAATTTTAATTTAATTCTTATTTTGTTTGTTGCTATGATATAAAAGTACTCTCTAACCTTGCATGTTGATCTTGTGGCATTGATGAACTTTATTAGCTCAAGTAGGTTTTTATTTATTTGTTTATCTATTTATTTAATTTCTTTTTTTTTGTTTTTGAGATGGAGTCTCACTCTGTCACCCAGGCTGGAGTGCAGTGGCCGGATCTCGGCTCACTGCAAGCTCTGCCTCTCGGGTTCACGCCATTCTCCTGCCTTAGCCTCCCGAGTAGCTGGGACTACAGGTGCCTGCCACCATGCCTGGCTAATTTTTTGTATTTTTAGTAGAGACTGGGTTTCACCATATTAGCCAGGATGGTCTCCATCTCCTGACCTTGTGATCCGCCCACCTCGGCCTCCCAAAGTACTGGGATTACAGGCATGAGCCACCGTGCCCAGCCTCAAGTAGGTTTTTAATGAATTTCTTATACTTTTAAAATACAACATTATGGCAATAAAAGACTATTCCACTTCTTTTCTAATCTGGAGAATTGTGTTGATTTTTCTAGTACAATTTTCTGGCTCGTATCTCCAGTACAATGGTGAATAGTGGTGAAAGTAGAAATTCTCATCCTGTTTTCAAACTTGCATGTAAAGCCCCCAGTCATTCACCATTAAGTATATTAGCTTTTGGTGTGGGGTTTTCCATCTTGGCTCACTGCAGCCTCAACCTCTTAAGCTCAAGTGATCTTCCCACCTTAACTGCCTGAGTAGTTGGGACAACAGGCATGCACCACCATGCCCAGATAATTTTTTTTTTTAATATTTTGTAAATATGGGGTCTCCCTATATTGTCCAGAATGGTCTTGAACTCCTGAGTTTATGCAGTCTTTCCACCTCAGCCTCCCAAAGTTCTGGGTTACAGGTGTGAGCCACTGCACCTGGCCAATTTTGGGTTTTCATAGAGGCCTTTTAGCAGGTCTCAAAAGTTTTCTTCTAATAGTTTTCTTGATGTTCTATCATTCACAGGTGTTGAATTTATCAAGCTTTTCTATTTAAATTATTACATTTTTACTTTGTTCAAGTAATGTTGTATCATATTAAACCAACATTGCATTGTGAAAATACCCTGCTTAGTCATGGTATGTAATCACTCTTATACCTTTTTATATTCATTTTTTAAATATTTCTTGGAATGTCTGTGTCTATATTTAAATAGGATGTTGTTTCATAGTCATCTTGTGATTCTTTTGTCTCATTTGGGTATTATGGTATTACTGGCTAATAGATGAATTAAGAAGTGTTACCTCTTCTACTGCTTGAAGTTTTTGTGAGAAATTGATGTTTTTCATTAAATGTTGATGAAATGTACAACTTAAGCAGTTTATAACAACTATTCTATCTAAAAAGATTTTAATTAATTTTTTGTTACATGGATATAAGTATATTCTTTTGTGTATATATATATGTATAAAATGAAACAATTCATAGGATGTTTTTTCAGTTTGCTTTTGTAATCCATCCCTATCAATATTTTTTATTTAATAGTATGTCATGAACAATTACTCTAGGCACTTGACATGGAATAATTTGAAAAAATAGAGAATGAGTCCTGTACTACAATCAACAAATAACTCAAAATTTTCTCCATTTTTAGGATGAAGAATATGAATATAGTTCTGTTACATAATATTTGTGTTTACTGTGTGAGACAAATGAGTTACTGAATGTAAAAATAATTAGTGAAACTGCCCTCTGATTTTTGGAATGTATGAAACAGGCAAATGCCCTACCTTCTATTTTTATCAATATTTAGATAAGACAGAAAAATAAATTTTAATAAGATATACAGAATAATCTTGTATTTGAAGAATGCTATGAAAAAGATAATTTGGAGTAGTAGTTAGTGTATGGCTCATATAATATGTTAGGTACTATTCTAAGCCATTAAACATTTGTATGCTTAATACCTAAGAGTTTAAAGTGAAGAAATCAAAGATTCATTGAAAAAAAAAATTGAATTTTAAAGAAATTGTATTTTTAATTGAAAAATAGTAGTATATATCTATCTACAGTGTAATATTTTGATATATGTTTATGTTGTAAAATGATTAAATCAAGTTAATGTTTATAGCTTCATATAATTTTTGTGGTGAAAACATTGAAAATAGTCTTTATAGCAGTTTTGAAATACACATTATTTATTATAGTCACCATTCTGTGCAATTGATCACTAAATCTTATTTCTCCTAATTGAAACTTGGTACACGTCGAAGAACATTTCCCCTCTTTTTATTCACTCCATCTCCTAGCCTCTGTCACATTTTCATTCATATTAGGTAACATTAAGGTCATTATAGAAATTAACTTTTTGGTGTCCCACAACTAAATGAACATAAATAATGTTAACTTTGTTAGTAAGTTATACTAATTAGGCATAGGAATAAATGGCAGCTGTTTTTGCCAGTAAACAAAGGATGCCCATTATTTTCAAATATTAGATATGAGTATTTTAGGTGGTAAAGTTTTAGGCCTAAAATATGTCATTGAATTTATTATCCCAGAAACCCAGCAGGTCATATTTTCTGAACATTGTAAATAACAATAGAAATTATTGACTAAAATGTTACCAGCAAGTACTATCTCACCACATGAAAATTGCATTGAAATATTTAAATTTGTAGTTCAAATGGAAGACTCAGATTCTTTTCATGGATTCAGGGAAGTGCTCATGAGGAAGCATGGTGATTAAGCCAAAAATCTGAATTCAGGTAAATAATTCTGCCAATATGTTCTCAATGGTGTAGAAAATCAGTAGTTTTGGCCATATATAGGTACTATTCTCTGACGTAGAGTACATTTATTTCAGAAATTTGTGCTAAATGTAAAATCAGTTCCCTAGTATTAAAGTTAAACTCTACAAATTATTACTTTACAGTATGTTGAGGAAAGGATATGTTCTATATAAAGTAACTTGAGATTTATTGTCTATTACAAAAAAAAATTGTGTAAAATATATTTCATGTGTACACTGTTGACATTTGTGCTTGGAAAAATACTATAGATTCTACACATTTTAAATGTAGAAAGCTAAAATCCTCAGAAAGTTACAAGAATCTTTAAACGACTGTATAGCATTGAAAGTGAAAGTAAAATATGAGAATTTTCCAACTAGAGAAGCAAACGAAAGAAATCATTTAGGAAAATAATCAACTGAGAAGTAAGCGCTCCTGTTAGATATGGGTGGTCAGAGTTGCCAAATCCATGTGGGTTGCCCAACTTGCCATAAAGCAAATTTAAAAAACAGACACAAACGGCAGATGTCTGAAATGTAATATCTCCCATAAGTGAAAAGAAAGTTAAAACTTATGTTACACACAGTTATAGGACTTATTTTTTAAATGTTTAAGTCAACACAATGAGAAAAACAGGAAATATATATATATATATATATTACAGAGCAAAAGACTACAAGCTTGACAAGCCATATTTGAAAAAGCCAAATACAAACAACCTACTTAACATACAACGTATGAGTTAAATATTAAATTAGTCTCAGCTGATGAGATTAGTGAACCGAAATACTGAGCATGATTAATGTAGTTAAATACAGTAAAAAGAGAAAACAGCCCCCGACCTCAGCAGAAGGTCTAAGGCCTGGCCCCCGCCCCCCATCCCTGCCCGGAGCCCTAGCCTCTGAGGCAGTCTCCAAGCCTTTGGGAGTAGCTTCTGAAGATGAGTTGGTGGTTGAATTCCTGCAGGACCACCATGTACCCCTTGTATCCCATGCCCCTCAGACATTCACGATGGATGAACTGGCTGAGATGCAGCAGATTGAACAGTCAAACTTCCTCCAGCCTCCCCAGAGAGCCCCTGGTATGGCCGACTTGGCCTTGTCTGAGAACTGGGCCCAGAGTGTCTTGCAGCTGGAGATGCTGTGGATGTAATTCAGGATTGTAATGAGACAGACTGGTCCCATTCATTCATTTCTGAAGTTACAGACCCCTTGGCTGTTTTCCCCACCTATTGGGCAGAGGCATATTTGGAGCAATCAGGGGAGAAGCTGTGGTTGGGAGAGCCTAAGGGAGCAGCAGCTGCTGATTGTTGGACCATGAATGTCATCCTGAGAAGGATCTGCAGCACATGGCCAATGACTTTGTGGCCAAAGGGGATGACTCCAAATTGGCTAACTCTGAGTACATCAGATGCCTGGGTTGACCATTCACAAGACCAGTAAACACAACTGCCCTTGATAGGGAGTTTGAACGCGCCAAGTCAGCTATAGAGTTGCAGGCGGAGTTGGAGGAGATGGCAAAACGAGATGCTGACGCTCACCCCTGGCTTTCTGACTATGATGACCTCACATCAGCTTCCTTTGATAAGGGGTACCAGTTGGAGGAGGAGAACCCCCCACGTGATCACCCTCAGCCTTTCAAAGAAGGGCTGCAGTGACTTCAGGAGCTGGCCTTGTTGTGGGAAGTCAGGGACCCCAAACGGAGGGACCAGCTGAAGCCACAGCAGAAGAACATAAATTGTGAAGATTTCATGGACACTTATTAGTTCCCCAAATTAATACTTTTATAATTTCTTATACCTCTCTTTACTGTAATCTCTGAACATAAATTGTGAAGATTTCATGGATATTTATCACTTCCCTAATCAATATTCTTGTGATTTCCTGTGCCTGTCTTTACTTCAATCTCTTAATCCTGTCATCTTTGTAAGCTGAGGATGTATGTCGCCTCAGGACCCTGTGATAATTGTGTTAACTGCACAAATTGTTTAAACAATAGGAAATCTGGGCATCTTGAAAAAAGAACAGGATAACAGCGATCGGTGTTCAGGGAACAAGGGAGATAACCATTAGGTCAGGCTGCCTGAGAGTCAGGCGGAACAGAGCCATATTTCTCTTCTTTCAAAAGCGAATAGGAGAAATACCGCTGAATTCTTTTTCTCAGCAAGGAACAGCCCTGAAAAAGAGAATGCGTTCCTAGGAGGGGGTCTCTAAAATTGTCGCTCTGGGAACGTCTGTCTTTTATGGTTGCAGATAAGGGATGAAATAAACCCGGGTCTCCCGTAGCGCTCCCAGGCCTATTAGGATGAGAAAATTCTCACCTAATAAATTTTGGTCAGACCAGTTGTCTGCTCTCAAACCCTGTCTCCTGATAAGATGTTATCAATGACAATGCATGCCTGAAACTTCATTAGCAATTTTAATTTCGCCTGGTCCTGTGATCTCACCCTGCCTCCATTTGCCTTGTAATATTTTATTACCTTGTGAAGCATGTGATCTCCGTGACTCACACCCTTTTCGTATCCTGCCTCCCCTTTTGAAAATGACTAATAAAAACTTGCTGGTTTTGTGACTTGGGGGGCATCATGGAACCTGCCAACATGTGATGCCTGCCCTGGACACCCAGCTTTAAAATTTATCTCTTTTGTACTCTCACTTTATTTCTCAGACTGGCCAACACTTAGGGAAAATAGAAAAGGACTCATGTTGAATTATCAGGGACAGGTTCCCCCAATAGTCCCTGCCAAATGCTATGCTGCATTTTGAGGCAGCTATGCAGCAGAATCCTAAGAATATGGAAGCTTGGCAGTACCTGGGTACCACCCAGGTAGAGAATGAACAAGAACTGTGAGCCATCAGAGCATTGCAGAGGTGTCTGGAGCTAAAGCCAGATAACTGACAGCACTGATGGCGCTGGCTGCAAGCTTTACCAACGAGCCCCTGCAGCAGCAGGCCTGTGAAACCCTGCTACACACCAGCCTGTGCCTATCTGGTGACACCTGCTGAAGAAGGGGCTGGTGGGGCAGGACTGGGCACCAGCAAGCATATCTTGGGATCTCTGTTGTCTGACTCCCTGTTTCTTGAAATGAAGGAGCTCTTCCTAGCAACTGTGCAACTGGACCCTATATCCATTGACCCCAGTGTGCAGTGTGGCTTGCAGGTCCTTTTCAACCTGAGTGGAGAGCATGACAAGGCCATGAACTGCTTCACAGCTACCCTCAGTGTTCGTCCCAATGACTATTTGCTGTGGAATGGAAACCAGAGTGAAGAAGCAGTAACTGCATACCGCCAGGCCCTTGAGCTCCAGCCTGGCTGTATCCAGTCCCACTGTAACCTGGGCATCAGCTGCATCAATCTGGGGCTCACTGGCAGGCTGCAGAGCACTTTCTGGAGGCCCTGAACATGTGGAAGAAAAGCCAGGGCCCTCAGGGTGAATGAGGTGCCATGTCAGAGAACACTTGGAGCACCCTGCATTTCGCCTTCTGTGTTAGGGCCAGAGCGACGCCTGTGGGGTGGCTGATGCCCGGGATCTGTCCACCCTCCTAACCGTGTTTAGCCTGCCCCAGTGACAGTGGGATGGGCTGCCCTGTGAGTGTCTGCCTAGACAGTTCCCCCCTCTGGATGTGATGTGAGTCCCTCTCCCCAAATGCACCTACCAAGCGGGTAGGCTGATGACCCTAAGTGGTAAGGCCTTTCAGAAGCTGTTCTAGTTCCTACATAATCATAGGAAAACACAGCTTGTTTTCTCTGCGTCCCTTCATAATTGAAGGGCTGTACATCCAGCTACAGAGCTCTCTGCTTATCATTCTTGAGGATGCTTGTTGGGGAGGACCCAATGATCTAGGCTAACTGTTGTCATCAACTGCCATTTCTGATAGGGTCTACCGCGTCATGTCTCTCCTTTCCCCACTGTTACTGGGAATTGGTAATAGTTCAGTGTAAGTAGGAGCTTCATCTGCTGTGGCCTCTAATGATGACTGTCTGGGATCAGGTGTTAGGAGTTGGCCTGTCAGATGGAATTGTTTATTTGGCTCTGCAGAGCTGAGTTTTGGTAGGGGTGCTCATAGTTCTGTCATTCTTGGACCTCTCCTGGCTGAGCTCCGATTCCCTGTGAGTACGATGCTGATGCAAAAATGCTGTGTCGTCATCCCAGCAGTCCTCAGGAGCTGCCAGGGCCAACTGTTACAGACTGTCTGGGTGTGGGGTGGGAGGAAGGTTCACTTGTGAAATGAGGCTGGGTGGGAGTGGGGAGGGACTAGATCAGATGATATCAAGAGCTCCATTCTGGGTCCTTGGTGGGAGAACAGAGCAAGTGGGAAGGGGGTGTGATGAATGCAGCAATCCCTCCTCCTCTTAGAAGTACCTGTGAATAGGAATTGGGCTAACTCTTCTACTAGGTTGGTTCAGAGATTGCAATCTTGCCAAATTTCTAGTAAAGAGCAGGTTCAGTGTTATCATAAGCCTTTGCTGTACCTCTTGAAATGTTTCTAGGGGAAAGCATTAGAAAATCCCCTTCTCCCATATTGTGTTCAGAAGGTGAAAACTGAGGGAAAATGAGGCAGCAGCTTGGATTCCTCTCAATTGTCCCCTGCAAGGGGAGATACACTAACCCCCAGAAATGACTGCTAAGCCTCTTGCCTTGTCTTCAGTGGCTAATGATCAGACACATATATATATATGTATATTTTAACTATCATGGTCCCAAGATTCCTTTCTGAAATTTATTTTTCTTCATAAGAATATGTGTAAATGATTTACAAATAAGACTAAAATATTTGTTTAGGAAGGAAGGAAGGAAGGAAGGAAGGAAGGAAGGAAGGAAGGAAGGCAAGCAAGTAAAGCAAGGACAAAGTAAGGGTTGAAAGGAAATAGCCAGGCACAGGAGCCCAAGAGGAAGGAAGGAAGGAAGGAAGGAAGGAAGGAAGGAAGGAAGGAAGGAAGGAAGGAAGGAAGGAAAACAGTCAGGCATGGTGGCTCATGCCTGTAATCCCAGCACTTTGGGAGGCCAAGGCAGGCGGATCATGAGGTCAGGAGTTCAAGACCAGCCTGGCCAACATAGTGAAACCCTGTCTCTACGAAAAATTAGCCGGGTGTGGTGTTGGGCGCCTGCAATCCTAGCTACTACAGAGGCTGAGGCAGGAGAATCACTTGAACCTGTGAGGCGGAGGTTGCAGTGAGCCAAGATTGCACCATTGCACTCCAGCCCAGGTGACACTCCAAGACTCCATCTCAAAAAAAGAAAACGTAAAACAAATACATATATCTATGAAGACTAGAATGCTAGAATGAGAAGGAATAGGACAAATCTCTTTTTTTATGGGATATATTAAAATAATTTGAATAATGCCTTTAAGAGTTGGTGGTTTGTAAGTTTCTACACGAAAACCAGACATAAATCCTTGAATTCAGAAATGCAGTCTGTCAAAAAGTGAAAAAAAAAAATTACTTAAAAGAAATAAGCTGGATAACACCAAAGAGAAGAAAAATACTAAAAATCAGTGTAATGATGAGAGCAAAATTTCTACAGCTTTTGTAAATCTCAAAACATAAATAGGAATGGCACTAAGAGAAATTATTTATTAAAGCTAGAAGTAGATACTAGGCTAAAATACCTTTAACAAAAAAGGGTAAATTAAAATATATTTTTAAAACCCTGAGTGATTTGTTTACCAATAGGAGCTTTTTAAAAGTGTACTTCAAGAAGAAAAAATAATGTTTTGTGTATAAGATTAAAAATGAAAGTGTGGCCAGACTCGGTGGCTCACACTTGTAATCCCAGCACTTTGGGAGGCTGAGGCAGGTGGATCACGAGGTCGAGATCAAGACCAGCCTGACCAACATGGTGAAACCCGTCTCTACTAAAAATACATAAATTAGCCAGACGTGGTGGTGTGCGCTTTTAATTCCAGCTACTCAGGAGGCTGAGGCAGGAGAATCACTTGAACCCAGGAGGTGGAGGTTGCAGTGAGCAGAGATCACGCCACTGCACTCCAGCCTGGGCAACAGAGCGAGACGCCATCTCAAAAAAAAAAAAGAAAAAGAAAGTGTCAGAGACTTGATTTGGAAATATCAAACCCTGATGGACACTGAACTAAAGAAATTAGACTTTGGCAGCATCAAGTAAACTATTTAAATATAATGCAATTGCTATTTAATTGATTGCATTTAAGTCAGTTAACAAATCCTGTACTATTTGCATAGTTTAACTGGTGGCAAAAAAATCTATTTCTCTTCAGAAGATTTTTGTCCCAGTACAATCTTGTTAAAAATGGGTGGGGCGCTTTGATAGAAATATTTTTTAGAATATTGATGATTCTTCCGTCAGGACTGATTTGTACCAAAAGACAGACAGTGGCACAGAGAGAGACCACAGGCATCTGGACATCCCGGATGACTGGGCCAGGAACCCATCGCGTGGTTAAGGAGGATGAAGTAATAATGTCCACTGAGTACATGACCACAGAGCAACTCACCAGAAGACACAGGCTGGTCTGCGTGGCCCTTTTCTCTGGGGAGGCTCTTGGGGAATGGCTGGTGTTGCAAAGGCTCCGGTATCACCTCTCATGCCTGAACAAGAGAATGACCATGTACATACTGGAGAGCAGCATGATTCCTACAAAGAAAATATTCTGAAATAATATTAGAATAAAAAACAGTCCCCTGAGAATGGAGCTCATTGGAGAAAGTGAGCAGAAGTCACTGACACTCAGTAAATTGAATTGGTCTGGGTCACACTGAAACAAGCTACAGTGCAGATGATCATGCTACTACTGGAAGATAATTTATGTTTTTGTTTAAGTCTCACCTACCACAAGATGCGAGGGCTGACGGTCATGGCCTGGAGCATGTTCAGGAGGCAGGTGGTGGTGATGGCCAGACCCCTCATCACCTTGTTCATGTAGAATAGTGCTTGACATTTGAGGTCCTCCCAAAAATGCAGTGACTCAAACACTGTCTAAAGAGAAAAAAATCCACTAGAGTGGGGTGCGTCATTGAGTGAACAAAAGTCAAGTGACAGGTGATCAGGTCTGTGTGCTTTGGCCTGTGATCCAAGAGTGTGAAGATGAAGAAGAAAAGGAGAAAGGTGTTGACTGGGACTGCAATGTCCAGTCATTGTCCCAGCTTGAAAATAAAGTGTTCTTAATAATGAACTTTATGTATTTTTCATGTTTTACTTTTTTTTTTTTCTTCCCAAGACGGGGTCTTGGTCTGTCACCCTGGCTGAAGTGCAGTGGTACAATAATAACGCATTGCATTCTGGGCCCCCTGGGCTCAAGTGGCCTCCTGCCTCGTCTCCCAAACAGCCAGGATTCCAGGTGAAGCTAATTGTAGTGGTGTTGGAGTCTCGCGATGCTGCCAGGCTTGTCTTGAGCTCTTGGCCTAAAGTGATTCTCCTACCTTGGCCCCCCAAAGCACTAGAATTACAGGTGTGAGCTACCTCACCTGGCCAGAAATTGGCTTTGTACATCAGAAAAATCCCAAAAGATCTCACATCATCATTGTTAATTCTGCATTAGTGAAAATTATCACAAATCACTTTTATTGTTTTACCCTCTTAATCTTGATAAGCCCTATCTCATATAAATATTGATAATCCAGCCTCTGCATTATTTTCTACACCAATTAGTATGTGAAATACCAACACATTTCTTATAAGATGCACACTATGTATCTATCTATTCCTGGGTATAGTTACCCATGGTACCTGGGCATCCCTCTTTAGAAATCGTATCTTTTTTTTTTTTTTGAGACGGAGTCTCGCTCTGTCACCCAGGCTGGAGTGCAGTGGCCGGATCTCAGCTCACTGCAAGCTCCACCTCCTGAGTTTACGCCATTCTCCTGCCTCAGCCAGGAGTAGCTGGACTATAGGCGCTATAGTAGCTGGGACTATAGGCGCCCGCCACCTCACCCGGCTAGTTTTTTTTTTGTATTTTTTAGTAGAGACGGGGTTTCACCGTGTTAGCCAGGATGGTCTTGATCTCCTGACCTCGTGGTCCGCCCGTCTCGGCCTCCCAAAGTGCTGGGATTACAGGCGTGAGCCACTGTGCCCGGCCTAGAAATTGTATCTTTGTTCTGCATTCTCATTTTATATTTATCACATTGATGCTACAAATAAAAAAAAGACCCAATCATATGTGCACAGTGCAACTGAATAAAATTTATGCTAATAGGAAAAGAATCACCAAAACAATTGAAAAAATAATATCTAGTTGTCTTTCTGACATGCTGACCTTTCAATGCTTTTAATTCTTTGTCTCTCACATTTTGAATCTTTGTGATTAGACGTTTGAACCTACCATAGTAATTCAGGATAGTATCCTTATTTTTTGCCAATAAATTAGCAATTTTGATCCCATGTGCAGCTTCTTATACCCATTGCCATGAAGTGTATATTTGCTGTATCTGAGAATTAGAACAGGGGCACCTTTGGAGGGCATTACTGTGCTTACCAAACCCTATTAGCTGTATCACATAAAAATGGCTCTGGCTCTCTTACAGTTTAGTTTCCATCTCAAAAATAAATTTTCTACGTCTCAACAGAGGATTCCCAATGTCCAGCTGTGAATTGTCAATAGAATAACACTAGTTGTAATCACTTTATGACAACCATAAAGTTGCATCAAAATGATCAAATGTTGGTCCTTTTCTTGAGATTCCACCTAATAGACAGATCCCCTCTTTTGCTTTGAAAACACTTATTTCTCCAATAATAAAGGTAATTTCCCTCTAGTTTTGTTAGGACACCTGTAATATCAGAACACCTGGCATAATTTCACTGAGCAATTTTGAAATTACTCTCTAATGTTATTGGCCAAGATGCAGGCATAATTGTTTTATCAAATTAATCTAGTGATTAGAACAAGTCAACTTAATGACACAAAAAATTAGAAAAC